AATATAACTGACAACAATTACGCAACGACACCAGCAGACAAGGCGGAATATTGGCAAAAAACTTTGAAAACATACATAACAAAATGCCAATATGTCAAACGCAGACCTGAAACAAGACGTACACGAGACAATTCAAACTTCACTGACCTCCACAGGGACAAAGACTTACGAATAGACCCTGCCACAGTTCTGAAATAAAGACAATAGTTAAAAAATTACCGAACAGAAAGCACCGGACCGGACGGACTACAAACATAATACTTAAACAACTGCCGACAAACGCCTACATTTTACTTACCTATAATAAATAGAATAATGACAAAAGGCTGCTTTCCCGCTTCTGGAAACCTCCACCATATTTCCAATAGTGAAGCCAAGGAAACAGCCAGACATACCACAGAACTACAGACCGATCAGCCTCCTCAACACAATGAGTAAGGTAGCCGAAAAGGTACTACTCAAAGACTTAACAAACACATAAGACACAACAAAATCATACCTGACACACAATACGGCTTCAAAGAACGACACTCCCACTACACCCACTGACAAAACTCATAGAAAATACTGTTCTCAATTTTAACAGACGAAACCATACCGGATTGGTGTTGCTTGATTTCGAGAGGCGTTTGACACCATCTGGATGGACGGACTTATACATAAACTCATACAACTGAATTTTCCACCATACATTACAAAACATTACACTCATACCTCTCAGACCGTAACTTTACCGTACAAATAGACAACGGACTTTCGACGGTTAAACAAGTGACGGCGGGAGTACCGCAGGGCTCGATCCTGGGACCGTCACTGTTTAACGTCTACATTCACGACATACCCACTGACGCCGACACCACCTTACTGACGTTTGGCTGACGACACTGCCATATACAAATCATCACGATCACCGACGCTACTGACTACAAAGATACAGACACACATAGACAAGCTGACGAAATATACTGACAAATGGCAGATCAAGATAAATCCGCAAAAGACGGAGGCAATTTTATTTACTAAGAGCCGAAATGCCATGACTAGACTGACTGACTTAGACAAAATTAAAGTATTAACTGTGAAGTTGAGTGGTCCAAAGATGTCAAATATCTTGGTGTGACCCTGGACCATAGACTCAGCTTCACAAAACATATTAATACGAAAATTGGACAGGCTTACGGGATGTTAAATCTACTGAGACCTCTCTTGAACCACAACGGCCCGCTAAGCGTGAAGAACAAGCGAACACTTTACTTGACACTGATAAGACCGATACTGACATACGGCGCTCCGGCATGGAACGCGACGACTAAGACTAACTTACGGAAACTACAGACATTACAAAATAAGACACTACGACTTGTACTCAACAAAATAAGGGACCCACTGACTAGACATTACTACTCTTCAAAATACATACACAAACAGACTGACGTACCGACAATACTCGACTACATAAAAAAGCTCACTGAGAATTTTATCTAAAATGTGGGGATCATCCTAATATGAACATCGCGGGCCTCGGCCAATACACAAGAGATGATATTTGGTATGGCAATCACGCCATGCCAAAATATATACTGATCGACCCATAGCGGCAATTGAAACTTGGCTCGACGCAAATATTCTCCCTCAAAGTGAATAAATCTTTTTTTGTTTTTCTCCTTTTTGAGTTATTATGTGTTATTATAAATAGTGCTAAGTGATTTTTTTTTGGGGAATAAATTTTCTTTCCTCTTTTTTGTCACAGAATTATGTCACAACTTGTATATCTGAAATACTTATTATTGTATTGATAGAACAAATATGAAGGATGAAATACCTACGGGTAAAAATCCAAAATGAGAAATGCTATGTACACATATATATCTACTGAAATATATTTATTTATTATTATTATTATTATTATTATGGTTTTTTATGGGCCGATCCCGGCGGTACTGCAATACCGGGCCAACCCGCGGCGGAAGCGGAGCAAGCCCCTGACATTCCGCCAATTTCCAAAAATCAGTTTAATATACTGGATCTGCTATGCAGATACTATCAGATATTAAGCTGATAAGAACAGATAATACATGTATTTAGTAAATAATATTTACAATGATTCCTAAAGCTAGTTTACAAAATATATATGGAAAGTATATCACATTTATAACTAATGATCTTATCTAACGATGTTTTTAAATTGAAAAATACATTATTGTTATTATACAGTGATAGCTTAAAATAATTCATGACTTAAGATATTCCATGACTTAAGATATTTCATTTATTATAATAGTTGAGTCCAGTTTGGTCCTGTTCCTCAATCCAGTGGTCCTCGTTCCAGTGCTGTAGCTGCTGGTGTGGGTCCTGCGTCCTGGTACTGCCTGTGTCGGTGATGTGCTCCACGTAGATATCTCGGGACCAGCGGATCGTGTCGGAGACCATCAACCGCTTCATCAGCACTGCATACTTTTTATTGACCTTGAGTGCTGCTAACGCGGTCCAATTGCGGCTGCAATATCCACCGAGAGATCCGACGATGAAAGCGTCTACTGTAGTCCTGAATCCCTTGGCTCGAAAGTGCTCAGCAAGTGCGGCGTACTTGTCCTTCTTAAGCTGTCTAGTTGTCTGGAAGGCCTCGGTCCGGTTCTCGAAGGGCACTGCTATATCGATTATCGCAGCTGTTTTCTCCTTGTTGTCTATGATAACGATGTCCGGTCGCTCTTGACCGTCGTATTCTGGTATCGGCTGGTTAGCGTATAGGGCTCCGTCCGCTGGTTTCTTTGCCGCCGTAATCAGTCTCTGCACGATGCTATCGTGTCTCCTCGTAATGGCGCTCAGGTGCGGCTTGCAGTGATTGATGACGTGAGGTAGGGTCTCGTCGTGCTGTCCACATCTTCTGCATCGCTTGTCGCCGCTGCCAAATGGACGACTCCCGTTCAGTGGTAAAACGTTGAGCCGCGCTCGATGAATAAATTTCCACTCTGCGAATCTGGTGAAGCCGCCTTGCCTAAGGAAGTGGTTTGATGCAGAGTTTTGTGTCGTTACCTCGAACACTTTTCCTTGGTCCGGTTTTCTGAGTAATCTTTCCTTGTAGAACCGTCGTGCAGCTGCTCGTAGGCTCGATTCTGCGTTCTCCCTGCTCACTGGCGCGTTGTCGACGGTTAGCTCGTCCAATCCCAGCTGCAGGTTGATCTTTGGTTTCAGCCTTCGCACTGCCGTCCTGAGCCTCGACCACGTCGTCGTAATGTCGTTCGCTGGTTTGTCGAGATCGCCACTTCTTCCGAAATTTATGAATCCGACGATCTCCTCCGTGTTGGGTTCGTGTCCCACACGTTTCCTGACGACGTCTGCTAGCGTGGCTCTGCTGAGTTCTGACGTGGCCCTGTCCTTTGATGTCAGCAGTCGGTGGGCGTGTACAACCTGTCCAATATCTGCCAACACCGCTGCTGGTAGGATGTTGAATCCGCCCTCTTTGTAACTCAGATATAGGACCTCGGCGCTGGCTCTCTGCGGCAGGTGCGCCCATTTCTTGACGCTTCTCTTCACCTGTTTGTCGAATCTGTGCAGGATTTTCTTGGCCACGTTTCCATTCTTTAGATGAAATTCCACCTGCCGCATGATGAAGGTATTGACTGCGTCGATCTTCTGCCATGGCGCCAGCAGCGACTCGTCTACTCTGGATAGGTGCTGCTGCATCTGCTCTAATACGTCTTCCCCTGACGAAAACGTAGAGAATCCGGTGGGAACGCCTAAGTGCTCGTACCACTCCTCCTGCGAAAGTGCTCTCAGGTTCTCTGCTCCCAGCTTGAAGGTCGTTCCGATCGCGCTGCGTCGTCGTCCGTCCACGTGCAGTGTCGCGCACTTCCTGGCGTTGAATTGTAGCCCAGACCAGGCGGCTATTGTCTCCGTCGTATTCAGCAGTCGTTGTAGTCCCTCTCTGTCGGCTCCGATGATGGCCAGGTCGTCAGCATACGCCAGGACGTTGAACTTCTGGCCCTCCAGTTTGTAGTAGTAGGCCTTCCTGGCTAGCGCGTGCAGCAGCGGTTCCAGCGTGATGTTGAATACGATCGGGGAGAGGGGGCACCCCTGTTTTACACCAGCTCGAACGGGGATCTCGTCGGTTGCTCCGTGCTCGCCGCGAACTCTAGTGTACGATCCCCTGTACAGTCTGCGGATTACGGCGATGGAGTCGGCGTGGAGACCTGTCCATTCCAGGGCGTTAAACATCGCTGCATGCGGGACGGCGCCGAACGCGTTTTTCAGGTCTAACCATGCTATGGCGGCTTGTTTTTGCTTCCTCCTTGCGTCTTGGATGATTGACTGCAGCGTGAAGTTGTGCTCTGCACATCCGTCATACTGCATAAAGCCCTTTTGCGACGGCGAGATGCGGTCGTTCTCTATGCACCATTTGGACAGTCTGCTCGCGATCACCGATGCGTAGAGTTTCCCTAGTGTGTTCGATAGCGCGATCGGCCTCCAGTTGTTTATGTCCCTGGGGTCTCCTTTTTTCGGGATGAGGATGGTGCTAGACTCGTCCCAGCTCCTCGGTACGTGCTGTAGCTTCCGAACTGCGTTGAAAACAGCAGCGCAGATATGACCTCCCTGATCGTACCGCTTCCAAACGCCGTAACGAAGTCCGTCTGGTCCCGGTGCGCTGTTCTTGCTCCGTTGTAGCCGCTGCCATACTTCCTCCGGCGTGAACTCGGCGCTAAGGGATCGTTCATTGCGACCGACGCAGGTGTTGGTATCTCAGCTGGGCTTCCGGTAACAGCATGGTTCTTCTCCTTGTATAGTTCCATGAAGTGGTCCTGTATAGTCTGCGTTGGAACCCTACAGCCTCTGCCTCCATTTTCCTCTGTGATCTCTCTATAGGCTCTCTTTTTGTCGCTCCGGTACAGCTTCTGGATGCGTGTCGCCCTCGTAACGTCCTGCTCGGCATTTGTTGCTCTCGGCCTGTGGTTGAAGTTGTTCCTCTTCTCGGAGCCCGTTCCGGCGGTCTCCTGGTCTTCCGGTTGCAGTCTGCTTACGAGCGCCGATACCTCCCGCTCCAGATCCTCGCTGCAGGTTACTACTTGCAGTCTGAGAACAAACTCCTCTTGTAGTTTGCTCAGCGTCGGCGATTCCTCTTGTAGCACAGTCTCCGCTACTGTCACTGCTACTGCCGCTGTTGCCGCCTCCGCTGCTTCTACTGCTTCTGATGCTGCTATGTCTGCTGCTGCTACAGCCTCTGTTGCTGCTACTGCCTCCGTTGCTGCTACTGCCTCCGTTGCCGCTACTGCCTCTGTTGCTGCTACAGCCTCCGTTGCTGCTACGGCCTCCGCTGCTGCTGGCGACTCTCGCGTTCTCTGCATTCGAATCCGCCGTACGCGTGTTGGAGCGGCATCTGTCGTTCTGCTTGGCGGCCTGTTGTCGCTGCATTCCATTGACCTTTTAATGTGTGCTGTTGCTCGCTTCAGTGTAGAGTGGACCTCTCCACAGTGGCTGCATCTGAACTTCATCATCATGTCTCGATTGTGCTCCTTCCTTAGATGCTTGAGCAGGTCATTGTGCGTCTTGTACTCCCGTGGTATAGGTAGGCAGGGCACGCAATTGAACGGCGGCGCAAGCGGTACATCCAGCACAGTGTAGGGCGTCTCGGTCTCCTCCATGCTTCCTTGTCCAGCAGGCGAGCGTTCTCTGGCTTCCGCGGCGTCCATTGTGTAATCCTACTTGTTGTATCCCGGGTGAGCGTACTTGTCGATCCTCTATCGCACTACACTGTTTGATCTTATCCATTCGGTGAGAAGCGTAAATTTGCGGACCAATACTATTTTTAAATTCTACAATATAAACAAATCTTCCCAACTATTTCAACGATTCATTTTTCATCTATTTTTATCAACTCTCGCGTCGCATTCCCTAACTATTCTTCACCCCCAAAGTTCTATGAGCGAATGTTCTAATATGGCTGTTAACTCTACTGTCGTTATAAGCCTTTCTCACATTTGTAAAATTTTACAAATATTATATAAAGTATTTCTGACACTTGCAAAATTTTTCAAAAAAATATGTTATTAGGAGTCCAGACGGTCATATTCATTTAATTTCTTTATCGATAGATGTGTGTTCATCTTATATATATTAAACTCATTTTATCGTCATATTTATATAAAGTATTTTCTGACACTTGCAAAATTTTTCAAAAAATATGTTATTTAGGAGAACAGACGCTCATATTCATATTAATTTCTTTATCGATAGATGTGTGTTCATATAATATATATTAAACTCATTTTATTTCATTTTATATAAAGTATTTTCTGACACTTGCAAATTTTTCAAAAAAATATGTCATTAGGAGAACAGACGCTCATATTCATATTAATTTCTTTATCGATAGATGTGTGTTCATACTTATATATATTAAACTCATTTTATCGTCATATTTATATAAAGTATTTTCTGACACTTGCAAAATTTTTCAAAAAAATATGTTATTAGGAGAACAGACGCTCATATTCATATTAATTTCTTTATCGATAGATGTGTGTTCATACTTATATATATTAAACTCATTTTATCGTCATATTTATATAAAGTATTTTCTGACACTTGCAAAAATTTTTCAAAAAAATATGTTATTAGGAGAACAGACGCTCATATTCATATTAATTTCTTTATCGATAGATGTGTGTTCATACTTATATATATTAAACTCATTTTTTGTCATATTTATATGAAGTATTTTCTGACACTTGCAAAATTTTTCAAAAAAATATGTTATTAGGAGAACAGACGCTCATATTCATATTAATTTCTTTATCGATAGATGTGTGTTCATACTTATATATATTAAACTCATTTTATCGTCATATTTATATAAAGTATTTTCTGACACTTGCAAAATTTTCAAAAAAATATGTTATTAGGAGAACAGACGCTCATATTCATATTAATTTCTTTATCGATAGATGTGTGTTCATACTTATATATATTAAACTCATTTTTTGTCATATTTATATGAAGTATTTTCTGACACTTGCAAAATTTTTCAAAAAAATATGTTATTAGGAGAACAGACGCTCATATTCATATTAATTTCTTTATCGATAGATGTGTGTTCATACTTATATATATTAAACTCATTTTATCGTCATATTTATATAAAGTATTTTCTGACACTTGCAAAATTTTTCAAAAAAAATATGTTATTGGGAGAACAGACGCTCATATTCATATTAATTTCTTTATCGATAGATGTGTGTTCATACTTATATATATTAAACTCATTTTTTGTCATATTTATATGAAGTATTTTCTGACACTTGCAAAATTTTTCAATCCTATTATCGTTATATATAATCTTTTGTTAGATTTGTATAGCTTTATATATTTTTTTATTTTATTATTAATTCTATAGTTTTTATATAATTAATTTATATAGTTAATTTGAAATCAATTATCGATATTACATATCAATATATTTATATATATTATATATATATATATTTAATATGCAATATATGCACATTTTTAAATTTATTATTATATGATGGTTTTTTATGGGCCGATCCCGGCGGTACTGCAATACCGGGCAACCCGCGGCGGAAGCGGAGCAAGCCCCTGACATTCCGCCAATTTCCAAAAATCAGTTTAATATACTGGATCTGCTATGCAGATACTATCAGATATTAAGCTGATAAGAACAGATGTTTCTTTTTAGATAATGCTGATGATATAGTGTAGGCCATTTGCAAATCTTAAAGAATTTTGATGTATCGCTGTGTATGTCAGACCAAGTATATAACTAGTACCATACGCGGACTGACATATAGCGAGCATATATCTGGAAGAGGAAATTACAATTTTATTGATATATAATAAAACACTACGGGCCAGCTATTAGCTGGTAGTGTGTATACATTTATTCAGCATTTTTAAATTATAGAAAATTATGCCGTTAACATGTTAACGGCATGTACATATCGTGGATAATATAGTATTCATAACATCAAAAAGTATATAAATTATTTGAGCAATAGCTTCGATATCTTCAGTCTTGGTCCTTATTCAGCCATGGTGCTGGGTAGAATGTTTCGTTGAGGTTATAATATCGTCATTCAACAGTTTTCTCATCCCTCCTCAGCCGTGGTATTGTCTGCTTCCTGTGATGTGTTCGACATACATGTCACGGGACCATTTGATAGTGTCGGACACCATCAGGCGTCTCATTAGCACAGAGTAGCGGCGGCCTATTCCTAAGGCTATTAGGTTTCGACGTTACTTTTGTCGTATCCCCCGAGTGATCCCATGACGAATACCAGGATTTTGGTGGTTAGGCCTTGAGTATGTAAATGATTGGCCAGGCACTATATTTCCTGATTTTTTCAGCTCTCGCAGTAACGAATGCTTGAGGCCGGTTCTCGAACGCCACCGTCACATCCATAATTAAGGCGATTTTCTGTGTTTCGTCTATAATGACTACGTCGGGTCTCTCAGCCCAATATCCCGGGATCTGCTGATTGATAAACGTTCTGGATCCAGGTGGCACCTTCATTGCTTTTGTCAACCGGTTTAGAATCGCGTTATGTCTTTTCGTCATGGTGACAAACTGTGGACGGCAGTGGTTCAGCACGTGCGGCAGCGTCTCGTTCTGGTGGCCGCATCGTCTGCACCGTTTGTCGTTCTGGCCGAATCTTCGGCACCCGTTCAACGGCAGTACGTTCAGACGGGCTCTATGTATGAAACGCCAGTCGGCAAATCTTGTAAAACTGCCATCTCTTATAAAGTGGTTGGAGACAGAGTTGGCCGATGTCACTTCCATAGCTTTTCCCTGGTCGGGTTTAAGTATAAGTTTGTTGCGGAAGTGATTCCGCGCCGCTGTTCTTAGTGCGCTTTCTGAATTCTGTCTCTCAACGCGCTTGTCGTCCACTTGCAGTGAGTCCAATTCGAGGAGGAAGTTGATTTTGCCCTTTAGGCGTCTGGCGGCTGCTCTGAGTCTCGTCCATGTCGAACTAATGTCGTTGCTCGGTTTTGCCACCAATCCTTCGTCAGATCCGTTGATGTAGTCAACGAGTTCCTTCGGCGTGGCCTCTCTGATCGTTTTCTTCCGAACAACCTCCTTCAGCGCTGCCAGACTTGCTTCTGCGACGCTGTCATCGTTGGACGTGAGCAGTCTGTGCGCATGGACGACCTGTCCGATGTCTGCCAAGAAAGAGGTTGGTAGCAGGTTGAAGCCTCCCTCTTTGTAGGCGAGATATAGGATCTCAGCGCTGCTCGCCTGGCAGATTGGCCCACTTCTTGGCGTAAGTCTTCACCTCCCGTCGTATATCCATAGTAGTTTTTTCGTGGTTTTACCGTTCCGGAGGTGAAATTGTAATTGC